GGGGATAGGTGAGAGCCAGGCCACTGACCTTCCAGCTCTTCTCTCTCCTCCTCGCCCCTCTGCCCACAGGCTCTGTCTTGTCCGTCCACTCCCAGCCAGCAGACACCAGCTACATCCTGCAGCTTCCCAAAGACACACCCCACCTGCTCCGGCCCCACGGTGCGCCCCCCTGGGGCACCATCCCCAAACTGCCCCCACCAGGCCGCTCCCCTTTGGCTCAGAGACCCCTCAGGCGCCAGGTGAGCAGGTATGGGGAGGTGGCCCGGGGCCTGGCATGCCTGGCTCCTCTGCTGGGACCCCTAGGCTGTTGGTGATGACCAGGTTGCCACGTCCATGCTTCCAGCAAACGTGCATTGCGTGCTGACCATGTGCCAGAGGCAGTTCTAGGTACCGGGACACAGTCCCGGATGGAGCGGAAGTGGTCTGGGCCCTTCCGGTGTTTATATTCCTCTCCCTTCTTTCCCTGAGGAGGCCTGGAGACCAGGTGGCTTAGGGACGCAGGTCAACTTGGCAGCAGAACCCACGTCTCTGGACTCCCTTTCCCTGGCCCAGAGGCGCCTCCCAGTTATTCTCTGTACTTCTAAACTAAGCTAAGGGACATAAGGCACGTTTTTAAGGACCTCCGCCTTTGGCCAAGCCCAGGGCCCACCTTCCAGGGGCACAGAGCTGAGGCTCAGGCAGCCAGGGGAGGCTTACCTGTCCCCAGAGTGACAAGGCCACAGCCCGCGCCGCGTGTGCCCTTACGTGTGATCATGGTCACATGAGAATCTGCTCAACGCCGCACACTTGAGGACGCAGGCCCGGTCCTCGTCCATTTCCCAAAGATTCACAGAGCAGCTTCTGTGTGCCGGGCCCGGGGGAGGCAGCCCCTGCCCCGTGGAGCTCACAGGCCAACCAGAGACATAAATGCCATCAGACCCCTGCAGCAGTAGGACGCAGCTGCTGGGATGTGCGTGTGTGTGGTGCAGTGGGGAGCAAAGAGGAGGAAGGGGTTCGTTCTCACGTGGGGGTAAAAGTTGTCAGGCACTGTGTCACAGAGAACCCGAGCCCATAAAGTTGAGGGGTGCTTGTCATTCGAGAAGGGTTTTCAAGGCCAAAGAAATAGCCTGTGCAAAGGGCTGGGAGCAGAGCTGGCCCAGTGCTTTCTTGTGCCCCAGGGGCTGGGAGCTCCAGACAGCCATTGCTGCCGGCGTTGGGGAAGGACGGCGTCGGGGAAGGACGGGGCGGGCAGGGGGAACAGGGTGCACGTGGCCCCCGTCTCCCAACAAGACCAAACACTGATCCTCCTGCCTAGGGTGGGCCTGCAGGGGGAGGATGGGGTTATCTGGCTTGACAGGGATGGGGGGCGGGGGACACGGAGGGAGGGCGGGGGCATGGAAGCCCCTGGGCTGAGCGCTCCTCCTACCTCACACAGGCAGCAATAAGGACTGATTCCCTGGACGTGCAGGGCCTGGGCAGCCGGGAAGACCTGCTGTCCGAGGTGAGTGGGCCCTCCCCGCCTCTGGTCCGCGCCTCCTCCTTCTGGGGCCACCTGGGCACCCAGGTGCAGCAGCATCCCCGCCGTCAGAGCACGATCTCGAAGCACAGGCCCCCGCCGGCCCCCTGCCCAGGCTCAGAACCCACTTGGAGCAAAGGCCCCCCAGAGACCAGAAGCAGCTTAGAGCTGGACACGGAGCTGAGCTGGATTTCAGGAGACCTCCTGACCGTGGGCAGCCAGGAGGTGCCCCCGTGCGCACGGGACTTGAAGAAGTGTTACAGCGTGGAGGCCCGGAGCTGCCAGCGCAGGCCTGCGTCCTGGCTGGATGAGCAGAGAAGGCACTCCATTGCGGTCAGCTGCCTGGACAGCGCCTCCCAACCCGGCCTGGGCCCTGACCCCTCTAGCCTTGGGGGCCAGCCTCTTGGGGGGCCTGGAAGCCGGCCCAAGAAAAAACTCAGCCCACCTAGTATCTCCATAGACCCCCCAGAGAGTCAGGGCCCTCGGCCCCCGCCCAGCCCCGGCGTCTGCCTCCGGCGGAGGGCTCCGTCCAGCGACTCCAAGGATCCCTCGGCCTCCGGCCCCCCTGACAGCATGGCTGCCTCGCCCCCCCCAAAGAAAGACGTGCTGAGTCTCTCCGGTTTAGCCTCTGACCCAGCCGACCTGGAGCCCTGAGTCCTGCCCCACTGCCCCCCTCACCTTTCTCCACTGGGTGCCAAATCCTAGCTCCTCCTCCTGGGCTATGCTCCTGAAAAATGTTCCATATGGACTCCAAGGAGGCGCTCCTCCCCGCCTCAGTGGCGCTGGGAACCGACAAGCAGAATTTCCAGAACGCTCAGAGCAGCGGCCCTGGCCACCCTGGGCCCAGGCAGAGAGAGAGAGGCCCAGTGCAGCTGAGGTTCCCAACACCAGGAGCTACTGGGAGAAAGCAATACGTTTGTGCAGAATCTCTATGTATATTCTATTTTATTAAATTAATTGAATCTAGTATATGCGGGATGTACGACATTTTGTGACTGAAGAGACTTGTTTCCTTCTACTTGTATGTGTCTCAGAATATTTTTGAGGCGAAGGCGTCTGTCTCTTGGCTATTTTAACCTAAAATAACCAGTCTAGTTATATTCCCTCTTCTTGCAAAGCACAAGCTGGGACCGAGAGTGCATTTCAGCCCTGCCGGTGGCCCATCTTCAGCGGAGAGTGAGAACCACTTTGGAAACTGTAATGTAACTTATTTTCTCCTTTAACCTCGCCATCATTTTCTGTAGGAAAAAAAAAAGAGAAAAAGAGAAAAATAAGATTTTACAAATGAAATGGAACCTTTTTATATATATACATACATACATATCTATATCTATATCTATAATAAAGTAATTTTCCAAAATAAAAGTTAATCCCGATCCAGAGTAAAAGCAAAAGGGACAGAGTTAGGCATTTCCAGGGGGCACTGGAGAAAGACCGTCCCTGGAGCTGGGGAGTGGGCAGCGGGCAGGGAGTGGGTCGGAGCTGCCTCTCTGTGCATGAGTGTGTGCGCGCCTGCGTGTCTGTCTGTCTGTCTGGCGGGGAGAGAACGTAACTCTCTCCCGGGAGGGCTGCCACCTTACAGCCTCACCTGGCGGGGGGGGGGGGGGGGGGGGGGGGGGGGGGGGGGGGG